GGAGGGTCAGAGAGCCCTCAGATTTCATCAAAAATATCTTAAATTGTGTTCCGAAGATGAACGAAGGTCTTATGGGTTTGCACGGCCACGAGGGTGAGTAATTAATGACAGAATGTTCATTTTTGGGTGAACTATCCCTTTAAGTCACGTCATAATGATGGTATTTATGAGATGAACGAACGTCAAAAATTTCAGCAAAAATTCAGACTGTATAATTTAGCATATTTTTTTCTTTTAAAGATAAAGAATAGGGATAAAGATGAAGAAGTTAGGAAAGCTGATTGCTAAAAGTCTAAACAGACAAAACTGCATTTCCCATCATTCATCCGTTCTAGATACTAACATGTCTTATGATGCGTTCAAGTCATGTCAGATAGATCGTATTTACGAGTTGAACGCACATGAACGCCACCACAAAGTCGTTATTATGAGTGGGAAACTCGAAATTTTCTTTAAGCCCCGAGTTTCCGAGTTGGGGGCGTGTCAATGACAAACATGGCGGAATCGATGGATGCAACGTCTGTAGTTGACGATAAATTTTTGTTTAAATTGATAGTTTAGTTGTCCTATAAACTTAAATTGGTCATGTTCTTGTTACGCAGCTGAAATCCAACTAAAAAAATGCAGACCCTGTTGTATTTTCTTGCAATTTATTAAAAGAAGGTACACCGCCATCTTGTGCCGACTAAACTGACTTGAACGCACCTGACGTCGTAATTACGACTTGTCAACTCGTAAGTACGAACGTCCCAGGAGGACTTGAACGCAGCATTATTTCCTTTTCATTTTCTTGTGAAAAATAAAAAAAATGGAATTTGTCATCAACAGAACTTTCTAAAGAAATGTCCTAGGGAAATCAGGTTATCATGTCCACATTTTGCCCCGAATTTACCTTTTGAATTCACCTCCATAATAAATAAGCAAACCCACCTTGTCACTTCCTCCTGTGGCCGCCTCAATCTTCCCAGGGAAAGGTCCCCATGTGATGCCCAGCAGAAGTGCCTGACAAGAACAAATCCTTCTCTCTCCTCCTTCACCAATCATTTTCAGCTCCCCTGCAGGAAAAGAAATATACAGTTATGACATAAACAAAAACTCGGCATGTTTTTCAGTTGTTTTTGATGTTATATTTAAAAAGTTTAATTTAAGTACAATACAGTTCAAAGGTTTGGGGTTGGTAAGATTTTAAATGTTTTTGAAAAGAGTCTCTTATGTTCTCCAAGGCTGCATTGGTTTGATAAAAATAAACTAAAAACAGTAATATTGTAAAATAGTATTACAATTTTAAATAACTGTTTTCTATGTTAATATATTGTAAAATATAATTTATTGCTGTGATCAAAGCTGAATTTTCAGCATCATTACTCCAGTCTTCAGTGTCACATGATCCTTCAGAAATCAGTATAATATGCTGATTTGCTGCTCAAGAAACATGATTATTATTATCAATGTTGAAAACAACTGTGCTGCTTCATATTTTTGTGGAAACGGTGATACTTTTTTAGGTTTCTTTAATGAACAGAATGTTCAAAAGAACAGCATTTATTTGAAAAAGAAATTATTTGTAACATTATAAATGTCTTTACTGTCACTTTTGATCAATTTAATGCATCCTTAATCAATTTCAAACCTTACTGACCGCAAACGTTTGAACAGTAGTGTATAGGGCCGTAATAATAATACACATCACTACTGCCTGTACAGTAATATGATGCACTGTTGTATTGTATATTCGTTTATACTGTGTATTGTATTGTATATTATGTGCATTTCAGTCTCGCTGGGGTGACCTGGGGTTTAGTGTCTTGCTCAAGGGCACAATGCTGAAGGTTCATGGGCTTTAAACCTACTTCTACACAGTTACCAGCTGAGATCTTTAACCAAAACACCACAGCACTCCATGAGCAGACTAAGCCCTAGTGTGAGCATCTCCCTCAATTAGAAATCATACACCCATCCGTCGGACCCTCTCCTGGGTGACCCTGCCTGTCTCTTTGATTAGGCTTTCGCTCACTGCTGCGACAGGGCTTCAGATAAGGTTGATTAAGCGCCTTTTTGATGGAAGTTTTGATGTGAACAGTGCAGAATCGTGTTAAATTATCCAGTTTCAGGAGGAGATGCGAAATGCCAGCAGATGGATTGATAAATAAAGAGAATCTTGAGGCAGTGCTTTCAGGGTTAAGCCTTTACACCCATCCCCTCTCTGGATTAATAGATCTCTTCAACTACAGAAGGGCGCCAATGTGGGGCATGATTCAAAAATATTTTCTTTATAAATATATATTTAGATATTTATGAATTCTGCACACCAATACTTCACTGATGATGCAATATGTTTATACTTTAGAATAATCAAAACTGTCAAATATGTATTGTAACTGACTACAAATAAATGTATGCACAAGTGAAAAAAAAAATATTAATATTAATATTTTTGATATTAATCATTTTTAATATTAAAAAATATATAAAAATAAAATGAATTTTAAAAATATGAGAGCTGCGGTAAAAAGGAAGATTTTCAGCAAATAAAGACTTAAATTTCAGTCTGCTTCATGGAAATCGTCTCCATACACTTTTACTGTATGGAGAAGAGCAGCATGAACATTCTTCAAAATATCTTCTTTTATGTTACACAAAAGAAAGAAAGGCATATAGGTTTAGAACATACATTTTAAATGGTAAATTTTAAATCTGAGTCTGTAAACTTTCAGTTAACATGAAAACGCATCGAAGGTTCAAGGGATCGTTCACCCAAAAATCATGTCATCATTTACTCATCCTCATGTCGTTCCAGAGTTGGAAATTAACAGGGGCTCGTGGCAAAAATGCCACCAAAATGAACAAAAATGCCTCACAAATTCAAGATAAAGTGGCAAAAATTGCCCCTACACAATTAAATTACATTGATTATGGCTGACACGATTAAAATGAAAAGTGAAAATGAATGAAAAGTGTCAATTCGTGGAATAACATTTAGATCGGCGCACGTTGCATCAGATTACTTTTACGTTTGATTTTTTGCAGTGTTGAGCATTATAACCAATCGCACACATTTCTGTTGAGCTAGGTGTATGCAAATTTCCAGTGTTGTTATATTTGTCTTATTTGTCATATTCAGTTATGAATTATATTCATTATGAGTTATTCTTTCTGAGTCTTATATTGTTACTTTTCAGTATATTCATATTATCTTTTTATGTTACTGTTATATTCAGTCTTACTCATTTTTATTATGTATTCCATTTATACTCATATTCCATTGACGTAGTATATTTTTCTTCATTTGACATATAAGAAAGTACATCTTGTTATGCTTAAGTGATGTTTGAATAGGATGTTGGAAACTTACTCTCTGCAGAAACATTTTTTGTATGCAAAGATGTTCGCTAAATGTGTCTTCTGTCTTCGTGGTACTACATGTTCCTTTCCGAGAGCTGCTATTTGCTATTTGCAGAGTGATACTTGAAAATTGCCAGGATGTGCTGTGCTGCTCAAAAGGTGTAAAACCACAGCCACATCTGTATTTTTATCTGATCTTATCTGGCCTTCATTGTCATGTCAGCGTGATCTGACCTAGCTTTGAACTTCAAGTTAATTTAGGTGGAGGAATACATTTGGCAAGACGTAGATAAATTCGTTTGACATCTATATATCAGACCAAAACATCTCGTGATGTTAAAATAGGATGTAAGTCTCTAGTACATTCTAAAAAATGCTGGGTTAAATATAACCCAGCGCTGGGTTA